TGTTTCTCTTGTACTGACCATCGCAGGCATTAGGAATATCCACCTGTCATTCCTGTACGGAAAGTTTATTTGCTTTGTTTTTTAAATTATTTGTTCCCGTGTGTGTGTGTGTGTGTGTGTGTCGCAGAGCATCTGTCGCTGACATGAAGGCGTACAAGCTGATTGCTGGTTTAATGACAGCAAATAGCTGGACTTGATTGACTGGGTTTCAGAATCAGAAGATTTCAGGTGGTGGCGGCTAAAACAAAAGGAGCCAATAATAATCATGGAAAGACTGAATGATGAAAAACAAAACGTTATGTATGCGCAGATTATGGACTTCAGAAATGCATGACATCGGAATGATTTTGGAACTGCTATGAAATGATCACGAAACATCCTACAGCTGTGTAATCATGAAGTTTTTACTAACTCGTCCTAAAAGCGATCTGTTTGTTTCCTCTGTGTTTGGCGCAGCGAGGCCACCGAACACAAATATCCCAGAAACGTTTCCCCCAGCCTGAGGGAAGATTTTTCTATGATTTCTAATTTGAGCATATTAATAACTTGAACTCGAGTGAAAGGGAACTGTTCCCTCGCTGGTTTCCAGCTCGTACTTTAGTGGGAACGGCCGCTGTAGAAAATAAGGGACATTTCAGTTTTTCCACCTTCTCGATCAAATCCAAGCGCTTGTTTGGATGAACAGCATGCTTGTGCTGCTGGAGCAGGCTGCAGATGTCGTCCGACCCTACGAGACGATCCGCTTTGCTTTGTGTGTCTTCCACGCTGCTCGCATCGTGTTTGGGGGGGTTCGAGCTAACTTATTTCCTTTTCCTTAGTATCTGTTGGTGCAGATTATTGATTTATTTTAATTTGCTGCTGTTATTTGTCCTGAGAGAGAGCAGTTTGTATTTCAGATGTGTCGTTGTTTTTCCTGCTGCGTGTGAGTCGCTGATCGTGATGCGACAGCCCAGGTCGGATGTTTTCAGGGACCGGGGGGGGCGGGGGGTTGTCCATCTACGTGGCGAACATCTGGATCTCGTCTCCGACCTCTTCCATTTAATCTGAATGCTGGCTTGCACTCGTTTTACTGTAGTGGTGACACATCTGTACTGTAGGTGACACGGTTGATCCGACGTGTTGCTGCGAGGCGAGACTGTCCAGTTTGCCGATGAGCTCAGAATGAAGTCTGCAGTAAACCCTCAAAAATCCTGGATCAGGTGTGACTCGCCCCCTAAAGCCTGACGTGGCGAAACGTCTCTCCCACCGTGTCGTACAACTGCGCTGATGTCTGTACAAGTAACTGTTCTTGGGGTGGACAGTATGGTTATGCGTAACACTAGCCAATGTGTCCACCCTGGTTACTGTCCGTCAGAACCTCATCGTGTTTTTAATCAGGAAGTACAAATTCTGAATATTAAAAATGATCATTATGACAGATTTCACCCATATCGCCCACCCCCGGCTCAGAGCTGAAAACCATCCTGTCAACACAGGCTTACAGCTGAGGTCATGTGAACTTGACCTCATCACAGCGTACACTAAGAACATCAGGGCGTAAAGTGCATAAACAGGACCGACGTTAGCAGCAGAGCTCGCTGTGCGCTCTCACCTCATCACCTTCACTCCCTTATGTTTAGGGGAGTGATGATAAATGAAGGACTCACAGGACTTCCTGTTGCAGGATGTATTTGGTCCCTGTATGCATACAGTCGCCAAAGCTTCATAACTGACAGGGCGACCTTACTGATGAGGTCCAATCAGGTGTTTTTGTTCAGGTATGTTGGCTGGTTTGCAGTTAAAACGTTTTAGGGAGTGACGACACAAAGGGAACTTTCCACAGACTCATCAGTGTAACGGCATCTTTGAGAAGTCACCTTATTTAAGAGACTGCAGTAAGCGGATTATTACACGTTGATCTCGCCACCTCAGCTTCGTCCTCGCCCAACAAACAACAAAAATGGCATTCAGATTGTTTCTGGTCAATATGGAAGCTTTTTTTCCACCACTGAAAACAAAGGCAGGTGGAGTTAATCAAAATTTCAATTGCAAAAAGATGAAATAAGAAATTCAGTGGCAGAAACAAACTTTCAGAGACTGCCTCAAAGTTTTTGACCCAAAGCTTCGTCATGATTTGATTGTGCCAAAATTTCCACCCGAGCTGATGAGGCGAGTGTCTGTGGGAGCAAAGAGGAGCAAAGAGGAGCGCTAACAGAGCGGCAGGGCCAGAAAAAGCCCTGCAGGTATTTTTTCGCATTGCACTGTAATTTATTAATATTATTTTTATTGTTCATCAGTAGATCAAATTAAAAGGTGCATTTAGCAACTGAAGGATGATTAATTAAATCAATTAATTTCACGTGTTTTAACTTGTTTTGGACCCTTGATGCACAAAGATGTAGGAATGACCCCGAGGTTGAACTGAATCTGGCCACTTTCTAAAACACGACTACTTGATAAAAACAAACCTCATACTTGCTTTTTTGTAATACGATTTTAATACCATTCAGCCAATGTTATCGTTTCTTTTTTTCTCATTAAAGAAAACATGTGGGTAAAGAACAATCTGAGTGTTTTTCATGTGTCATTTATTTTTAATCACAACCGTTTTCACTTTCATTGCAAAGATCAAGTGTTGCAGATGAAGCAGATTCAGTGCACAAACAAAAACAAAGCCATTTAATAAATTATAACTCATATCTACCACACAGTCAGTTCCCCCTCCATGGGTCTGCTGATTGGGAGGGGGCGGGGGGTCACAGGTCATGTGGTAACAGAGAAAATACATTTTTTAAAAAAAGCAAATTAACACTTTTCACCCAAAGCAAAGACGAGGGCAAGGATTTAAAAAGATCTGATTTGGTCAAATCATATTTGCAAGTCAGCAAAAGGTCCCATCTACTGATTAGAAAAGGGGTGAAAGGGGGAGGGGCTCATTTTATTGATTAGATAAGAAAAACAAAACATGGCTCCATGTGACATTTTGAAAAGCTCTCCGAGTAGCTGGTGCCACCAGCGTGACCGTTTCTCGATTTAAAAAAGGCAAATCAGACAAAGACGACACAGGAAACAAACAAATGGCACGAAAAGCAAACAGAAACGCCAAAGTGAAAACTATCACTACACAACTACATTAATGATGTGACGGGGTTTGTATTAAAGGCATGGAGATACGATCTAATAGCTACTTCACATTTCATTTAGACAGATCGACGTCGTGTCCGTAAACAGTACTCGTGTTTGAGGCTGTCACGCTCCAGTCGCTCTCGACACAACGCTCACAGTCTACACGCTGGACGGTTTCAGACACAGCGAACCGTCAGCGGCCGATCGTGCGAGCGTTATATTTAGAGAGACTCCCTGGTGATCGGCCCTCCTGACAAAAGGAAATTCTGGGATAAACTGTGCGGTCAGCTTCTCCCTCTAGCTGCCTGAGACGACACGTGACGTCACGACGTTTGGCTCGTGAAGTACGCCGAGAAGAGGGACGGGGAGCGATCGGTGCAGCCACGTGACATCTCAACCAATCTCATCATGACCTGTGAGATTAACCCCCGTCGTTAGAGGTTAAAAACAACACGAGTGACCACGCTGAATGAATGACAGAGACGTCTGTGGAGACTGAAATGATTCCTGATTATTCTGGTCCATGAGACCAAACGGGTCAAAGTTGGCAGCAAGACAGGATCTGACATCATTGTTTGTGCATTAGGGACGAAGGAAATGGAAGTGATTCTGCTGGTTTGGAAACCATCGTGACAACAGCAGCTCGGTCCAGCCTCAGTGTCTTATTGGCCAGAGTTTATTGAATTTGAGGAAAAAGGGTACAGTAGGGTCCGGGGCAATAAACGCTGCTGCACGCCTTAGTGGGCCTTGGCCTTGGGTTGAGTGATTCTACGGACAACACTGTACAGGACTCCAAAGTTCTGCAAAGAGACAAAAGAAACAGGGTTAGTCTCATGAGCCCGACACACTCTGCAGACCTCTACAGCTCCACAGGTACTGCCCGACTAACTACACCTGGTGAGGTGTGGGTTAGGGTATGTCTGAAGTTGGCCTTGGGCTAATCGAGCTGCTCTTGTAGCCGGTACCAGACTAATTGTTTCCCATTTTAATTGATGCTTAAAGTTGCATTCTAAAGGTTATGCAGCAGTCTGCCACCAGATGGCGCTGCATTGTCGAGAAGTGCAATAAATCTGTTAATCTAGGCCTGATCTCTTTGTTAATACCGTTAGTGTTTGCTTTTAAAAAGGCGAAAGAATAAGATGGTGTGTCCTATACAAAAAGAGATCCTCAGAGTGTGGAGGAGACACCAGGGAACATGAGAAGAGCTGGGCGGGGCCACAGGAGGACGCCGTTTTCTTCACCAACGTAAGCCGTTCACACAGAGTAAATGTGAGAGATGTGAAAGTCTCTGCTGTGGTGAACTTGATTCCACCTGCAACATAATCCAGTATAACTGGGGGAGCATATTTGTAACCCGCTGGGTACCAGGATGAAAGAGCAGCTGTTGGGCCTCGCGTGGGTACGGCGCCCAGAGCGTCTCTGCAGGTCCTGATGACAAAGACACTGACGGGCCCACGCAGTCGCTTTAGGACGTTATGCAACACTGTTCAAATCCACCAAACAGCACCACAGCAGTGATCCAAATCTGAA